ACAAGTGTAGTATTTGTGATTTTTTACATGGACATGACTAGGACAGTTGTCCACTGTTAGGATAATGAATCGTTTCTTCTTCAGCATTTCTTTGTCAACACTTCTGATCCACACCTCGCCCATGGCAGCAGTCATCCACACACAGACCGGTTTGATCTCCAGGTGACTGGAAGGTTTTCAGGATTTAGGTTCTCGCACACACGTGGTCTAGCTGATTTACCAATGACCATGGGTTTTAGCTTCTCCTCACTGAATTTGTGAGTTCATGTTTGCAGACAGTAACAAGTGTAGTATTTGTGATTTTTTACATGGACATGACTAGGACAGTTGTCCACGGTTAGAATAATGAAGCGCTTCTTCTTCATCATTTCTTTGTCAACACTTCTGATCCACTCCTCGCCCATGGCAGCAGTCATCCACGCACAGACCGATTTGATCTCCAGGTGACTGGAAGGTTTTCAGGATTTAGGTTCTCGCACACACGTGGTCTAGCTGATTTACCAATGACCATGGGTTTTAGCTTCTCCTCACTGAATTTGTGAGTTCACGTTTGCAGACAGTAACAAGTGTAGTATTTGTGATTTTTTACATGGACATGACTAGGACAGTTGTCCACTGTTAGAATAATGAAGCGTTTCTTCTTCATCATTTCTTTGTCAACACTTCTGATCCACACCTCGACCATGGCAGCAGTCATCCACACACAGACCGGTTTGATCTCCAGGTGACTGGAAGGTTTTCAGGATTTAGGTTCTCGCACACACGTGGTCTAGCTGATTTACCAATGACCATGGGTTTTAGCTTCTCCTCACTGAATTTGTGAGTTCATGATTGCAGACAGTAACAAGTGTAGTATTTGTGATTTTTTACATGGACATGACTAGGACAGTTGTCCACTGTTAGAATAATGAAGCGTTTCTTCTTCATCATTTCTTTGTCAACACTTCTGATCCACACCTCGCCCATGGCAGCAGTCATCCACACACAGACCGGTTTGATCTCCAGGTGACTGGAAGGTTTTCAGGATTTAGGTTCTCGTACACACGTGGTCTAGCTGATTTACCAATGACCATGGGTTTTAGCTTCTCCTCACTGAATTTGTGAGTTCATGATTGCAGACAGTAACAAGTGTAGTATTTGTGATTTTTTACATGGACATGACTAGGACAGTTGTCCACTGTTAGGATAATGAAGCGCTTCTTCTTCATCATTTCTTTGTCAACACTTCTGATCCACACCTCGCCCATGGCAGCAGTCATCCACACACAGACCGGTTTGATCTCCAGGTGACTGGAAGGTTTTCAGGATTTAGGTTCTCGTACACACGTGGTCTAGCTGATTTATCAATGACCATGGGTTTTAGCTTCTTCCCACTTGAGTTAGCGCACAATAAAAATGTGAAACGTTTTGCAGAATGTTTTCCATTCTTGCATTTGACACCTTTGATAACAAGGTTTCTGTTAGGCATCCCCTTGTAAAGGAGACCGCACTCGTCGGCGTTAAAAATGCCATCATTGTTGAATCCCTTGCTGAAGGTAGAAAATCTTTCAATGAAGTCTTGAATAAACTCTTCATGTCTGAGTAAAAATTTCTCTAGCCAACCATTATATTCCAGGAAATCTCCAACCCTAAATTCTTGTGAGAATCTTTTAGCAATTTCTTAACTCATCGGCCTAGCAATTTGAGCGTTAGCTGCCTTCATTTTCTTGAAGCAGCGCAGCGTAGCCTCATTGAATTCATCGTGTGAAGTTTTCCGCCTCTTCCTCTCTTGTTCTCCACTTTCATTATCGTATCTTTCCAAGTAATCGTATTTGCGCTTTTGGATATTGCTAACTATTGTCTTGCTAACACCAAAACGCTCTGCCGCTTTTCTTTGGCTGCTGCTTTCCAGGACATTTAACAGACTAATCCTTTCTTTCAAGGTCAACTCGCTGAGGTCTTTTCTTTGGGCCATAATGTTGAACTACTCGTAATGACCGATCCTAATTTGGTCAAATCGCGCAGTAGATCTAAGGCTTACGGTTCTATTTGCGTAACATTAATTGCATACAATAACTAACCTCAATTAGTTTCACCCTCAGGCGGACACCAAATAGAGCTGGATAAACGCTGGACAATTAGTGTGGGCATAAACCTCAGTCTCGGCACAATCCAAGGTGTTAATGAACTGGTGCTTAGACTTGGTGGTTAATCATGTGTTTGGCAGTCACTTAAACTCCTGCTTGCGGCCTGCGCGATGAGTGAACCAATGTTCTTAGGGGTAGACGTTGGTTTGCCTGTGAACAAGTGAGGGAAGTTGAACACAACTCATTATGACCCATTCCGTGGGCGCGGATCTGTGGGGGCCCACGCTGATCTAGGTAATACGTATGCGCGTAAACGCTGAAGGCCGGGACAAATCCGCACATACACACAGAGGGCACACTCTATCCTCAAACAAAATTCCCTGATTTGGAGGTCAGAAATCCACACATAGCGGCCCCTTTGCACACTGTGTTATCGGAACAAACGAGCCATTCGGAAACCATTGGATAGTAAGCCCTCAAATGGTCAACTTATTGAGGCTGAATTGTTACTGTCTGTCATAGCCCAAGTGGTCAATATACAACTTACAGACGTGATCAACATACAGAGATCTGGTTCCATAGAGTTTACACAGTGACCGTACTAGCTATGAAAAAGTGCTCAACTTAGAGGTCTTCTCGGGTCCGACGAAGTGGCTCTGCAAACCCTGATGGGTAGCGCCGTACGCTTCGGCATGTGCATTGCACCTTCAAAGTGCAGAGTGCTGCTGCAGGAATGGACCTACACACATCCGGCTTTAGCTATCACTGAACAACCACTGGAAATGGTGGATCGGTTCACTTACGTTGGTAACTGTTTCATCTCTGTTGCTCACATCACTGAGGAAGTTGCTTCACGTATCAGTAAGGATCGTGTGGCTTTCCAGATACTCAACCATCTATGGAGACGGTGGGCTATCAGCCTGTCAGTGAAAGGTAGGGTGTATAACGCTGTGGTAAGGCCAGTGTTGCTGTATGTATCAGGGACCTGGCCAGTTCCCGGCGAAGACATTGCTCCTTTGGCCGTGTTTGACCACCGGTGCTTGCGTAGTATTGCCCACGTCTGTAAAGCATACCGAGTTTACAATCCAGTGGTCGAGCGGTACCGTTGCTCAGATCATAGTTGGTCAACTGAACTGAACTGATCGTTGTTTGAGCTCACACCTTCTAGCCACAGGAACTGGTTTCATCGGTACATTCATTGTGGTTCGCTGTCAGATTTGATGACTTCTGTTCCACTTCGTCACTACTTTTGTTACTCACTCGTTTGTTGATGCTGCTTCTATTTGTTGAGCATACTGGATGACTTGTGTTGCGCTCATCTGTGGCGATTTTCCTCTGTTGTCTCACCTCCGTTTGTCGTTTATAGCAAACGCTAGCATTCATTTCCGCGCTGACTTTGCGGTGTTTTCATGTATGACCACTGCACTACCGCAAGGTAACTTTTCGCCACAGATGCATTCCGAAGAAAACCCACATTCACCCCTTGATTTTTGGACTTTGTTTTAACGAGTTTTTGAACGCAATGGTTCGCACCGGTTGGGGATTTTCCATCCATCTTTTATCTAGTTTTTCGGCTATTCGCCTCACTTGTCCGACTTTACTTTTCATGCAAACTGATGCTAGAGGACGTGGGACAAGCGGTTTCCTGTTGAAACATCTCATTGCGGGATTTAACATTTCACTGTCAAACGCTGTCTCACGACCCAATAAATCGATTGTCGTGTTCTTGCATGTTGGAATTATGCAGTTTACGGTTGCGAGTTTTGTTTGTTCAGACTGCTCTACATGTTATCTGCCTCACAGTTTTACATGGTGGTCGAGCTGCAATGCTCCCTTTTGTATGAAAGTTCTGACCTCCTGGTTGTACCTAATGTCTCTCTATCCTCTCTGTTTATGTGTATACAACGCGAAATGTGAATGGATTTTGTAGAAAAGGCCAGATAAGGCATCAACAATACGCCGATATGCAGTATCGACGCTTCGCTTCCGCGGGACCACCACCAGTCGCACGTTGGCAAAGGATAGTGCGAAGGTCGCCCAGTTTCTACGCAGGCTCGAACCCATGCCCTCGGATTACAAAGCGGACTTATTACCCTTAAGAGTACTGGCCGGCGTCTCTGTAGACCTCTTTCAGCTATGTAAATCTCTTTGTCATTACAGCACATTTTGTCAATCATTTTTGCTAATCTCCACTCCGTCCTGCTTGTCTGATGGCTCGGTTTAGTTCGCTTCCGGGTTGGTTCTTTCAGGCGACGCAACCGCGCTAGATGTCATTCTTCTCAGAATAAATCGAATTTGCACTGCACCTCTTCTATTTCTCCATGTCCCCCACTTAACTTTTCTTTTGTTATTGCGATCTGTCTGCCCTCCCATTCAGAGGCATCATACAATCAGTGTAGCAGTGTTCCGTGGTATGATCATTTGACGATAAGTTGCGCACCTTTTTCCTATCAAATCTGTCGATCAGCATCCGGTGTATTCCTCATTTGCTCCACCACTGCGTTGCACTTGGTGTGATGTGCTTCATGTTTTGAACTAAAACAATTTATTGACCCAAAATTTCGCCATACCTCTTCTGTGGTGGAAACTAAACGTATCTACTCTGATTTCGCGCGACGTCTCTTTTTGGGTTACACCGGTGGCATCTTGGATGTCATTTCTTCCGTTGAGTTTACTTCGGAAACGTCAAGCTAACATACACACTTTCGCTCGCCACACCCTCCTTTACTCTCATCTGAGTTTTATGCTTGCCGCACGACCACGGACGGTGTGATATCTTGTCTCGCCGTTTCTTAATTTCCATTCAACTATATGAATGATTTCGTCCCATTTATCTTCTTATGCACTGCATTCTAGAAAGTATAGTAGGTTATATGCAATGTTTTCCTTATTCTGCTTATTCGTATATTTTATTTCCGTCTTCTCTCACTTTAGTCGACAAATATCCCAACATCATAACTGGCCTGGTTGATATTTGGCGACGCAATCCTCCTCACCCTTTTCTCCGTAACCTCTCCGTAAGTTGCTCGGAATGGACGGCATCTGTAATGTTTCTGGATGTCAACCTTCCTCCAGCATGGAAGTGTCGCATAATTTCTTCTCTTGCACACTGCTCTGTGCCATTCCTGCCTATTTCCCAAATGCCCCACATCTTTTTTTCCTTTTTCTCATGACTTGCGCAGCACATATAAAGTGAGTTTGCACCAAGTTCGCGGTATGAAACTTGTGCGGCGCAAACTACAGACCATTGGACACGAGCTATACGCAAGTTCCGAGCAATAGAACCACATTGCTTTACTGTAAACTCGTATTCAGGATCTAAACTGCTCTATAGGTCAGGACTAACAACCCGGTTTGTGACGTGCAACTACACCATTTTACACGCATGTTAGCGCATTGTACCAAGCATTTAGCGTGGCACATTTTCGAAATCGCGTGCAGTGCTTTCAAGTTAACGAGGTTTCCTTCAGATAGACATCAAAATAGAACAGAAGGTGGTGCTCGACCACTTTCATTGGACTGTCTGTCGCTTATGCTGTGGACTTCCAACCGGTGTCCCATTGGTTAACGTCCCATGGCCAAAGAGGGTGTCAACAACGCCAACAAACGTTCTTAGCCTGGCTGACTTGAAAGCACTGCACGCGATTTCGAAAATGTGCCACGCTAAAAGCTTGGTACAATGCGCTAACATGCGTGTAAAATGGTATAGTACACGCCAACAATACCACACAACAGTGCAACCATCGGTACACCGAATATTGTTTCACGGTTCAACCCTGAAACATGGCGTGTGTCGGCAATCTGGATTGATTAAGCTTGATGTTTGGGAGTGTACATGTTTGGACACATAAATGCGAGCTGAGCCTGCAAATGGAGTCAATCCGGTTTGGCGTGGCGATTAAAGTTCTTGCCTTGTTCGCAACTTACAGTGTGTCGTCAGTCCTGATAGCTAGCTGTTTATGGTACGAGAATGTCGATCGATTTCCTGACACATATAGTAGCATTTCAGTACTATCACAGCTGCCGTCACTTACGCCGGGAACCAAAGAAGGATGGAGATCAGGAGGACTGTGGAAAATAAATATGGGCATGGATAGTATTTCGCGTCATTAGTAACACGTTTTGTCCGTTTCCCCCACTATATTACCCTCATCACCACTACCACTAATATCCAGTTTAACCAGAGGTGGAAAACACCTCAGCTATTGTGCCGCAATACATAAGAGAAGAAGTTCAACATGCAACAGGCGCACATCAGCTTAGCCACCGGTGACAGATGGACATCGTTCTGCAGGATTACCAGTCGGTTATTATGATACACAAAATATATTGTACGTCTGATATGAGATTGTGGTTGGAAGAGAAAGCTATGCGATACAGGGAGGGACAACGAAACCCATAACAGAAACGTCACTGCGGTCGGTTCCTTGTCATGTCGACAAGCGTATCCAGCCAAATGTGTTCATTATCTTTCGGACCGCAACCAGGGAGCCGAGAGGATCTAACCGAGGCCAACTTCGAAGTGTGGACTTTCATTTCTCTCGACCAAGTCGCCACTTCTTTTCTTCAATCCGCACCACCGGCATGCAAACAACACACGTCACATGAGTTGGTGGGCTGGCATACGCAACACGTGGCCCGGCCATCGGAGCCTGGTGCGTGAAATAACGGTACTGAGTGGCTCACTCGCTCTTCCTGCAATATATACACCATGCTGAACATGTTCATTGCTCACACGGTGTTCCAACTAGATATGACGCAAACTGCGAAGGCACTGGTGGTCGAATGTAAATAGCTTCTTTATGTCTGCCGATCTAATAGGTCAGGTTTCAAAAGCGTGCAGCAGCGCCGAACGTAGGGCTGCATAGTTGACTCATCCCTTCAAGAAGAGTGTGATGTCACACCGGCGCCGTAGATAGCGAACGTCAGCAAAATCACCTGTAGCTTTTTGTTATAATAACCTCGTCTTCGATTCCACAGTCGCTGGTACAACTGCCTAGTTACTTGAATTTGTGAACGACTTCTAGCTGATTCCCACTAAGAGTCAGCGCAGGAAGTTGCTTTTGTCAATCTTAGAAGGAAGCATTGCACTTCGAGGATGCAAAGCATAACCCGAAATGCCTGACATCCAGCGCTAATCTGTCCAGGGCAGCTGGGCACGTTTGGGAGCTGTCACAAATGTAGGTAATATCGTCAGCATATTCCAAGAATTCATCCACCTGGGAGCAGCTCCACACCATTTAAGTTGTGTCCTGTAAACGCGGTTTCCAGGACTTCGTCAATGCCGAAGTTGAAGAGGAATTTAGACAGCACACATCTTTGTCTTACAATGCTGAAGATATTGTAGGGCAGCGATAGCTTCCGTAATCCCTCGCTCTGCCCAAACTGCGCGCTTAAACTGCTCGCCTAATATTTACCTATTTCTCGCGCACATCTTTCCTTAGCAGCTAGTCCCAAAGAGCACATCGTTAAACCGAATCCTGGGCACCTTTGATGTCGAGAAACACGACAACGGTTGTCCACCAATAAATATGGTGGTGCTCCAACAATTGACTCAAAGTGAAGGTGTGATGGACTCAAGCGCGTCATCGACGGAACCCGATCTGCTGCTTGTGAATCTGGCTTTTACGGGGGCCAGTCGATCTGTGAACATGGCAGAGGTAAGCAGTTGGGAGGCGACGGGGATCAGACTGATTCCTCTGTGGTTGCCGCATTCCGAACAGGAGCCTCCCTTGAGAATTGGCACTATAACCAAGTGGCTCAAGTCGGTTGGGACAGTTTCACTAGTAAATCATCCACAAGAACAGATCCCCGGGATTTGAAGAGGGTTGGAAGAAGACCATCTGGTCCCGCGGCTTTATTTAACTACAGCAGTCTGATCTCACGTTCGACTTCTGAGCGTTAGGCGGATCCAAAGGAACAGGCCATGGAGCAGGGCAATCAGTGGCCAGCGAGAAATCTGACAATTCTCACTGACTAAATTGCCTTTCAAAGTTCTAACCCAAACGCTCCAATGCGTTTTGACAAATTGCGGATAGACTGTACACTCTCGTCACAAAGAGTTTCACCCATACTATGTCTCCTGCTGCCCGTTTCCCTATCAGACGGAATACCTTCCGATTGTTTGCAAGGACAGTGGCCACTTCCATTTGTGACGCACAATGCAACCACAAGGATTGGCTAGTAGGAACTTTTGCCCTGAAGTCTTTGCGAATCTCTTTGTGTTCGCTCCCAGCTGGAATGTGTCGTCAAGCATCCGGAAGTTTCGGAGACTGTGTAGAGACCCAATATCCATGTTGGCTGTTGCCGGCTGCTAGTAAGCTCTGCTGAACATGTGAACAAGTACCTTCAAATATGTTCAGTAGGCACATGCTCAACCCGAATGCCAGCGTATTTCGATATGCATTCAGACCATATGGTTTCGCCAGCTCGCTGGTGTCAATACGCTCACAGCGTTGTTGTGGGCGTCCGCCAAAACGCACCCACAGATCAGCACATATAAGTGCGTAGTCAGTGTCCACACATGTGCTCCAAATCGAGTGACAGTTCTGGACGCAGCCTTTCCAGCGGTACCTGATCGCGATGTGATCGATTTGCGTCTAAGGCTAGTGTTTTCCATGTCACCCTCCGACGAGTACTGTGTTGGAAATTAGTGCTTGCAAGAAATAAGCGAGTATCTTCACACAAATGATCCATCGCTCACTGTTATCATTACTGGAGCCCGCACCATTCTGTCCGCCCAGATGCAGTGGACCATTTTCCAACTTGAGCGTTCAGATCCCTAGGCAGCATTACAGTGTCACCGCTTCTTCTGTGGTGAAGGAGCTCGTTCAGTTGGTGATAGCAGTCTTTTACCGTGTCATCGCAACAGTTTGTGGGGGCGTAGACAACGATGACAGACACTTATTAACGCGGCACGACCTCGAAGCTTTGAACGATCCATCCAGTCGGGAGGCACACATCCGGCTACTGATTGGGATCCAATCAACCAGAGCAGCTTCAGCCTGCGGACTGAAGGCAATACCAACACCGGCTTGGCCGGCACTCGAAGCTGCATCGTATGCGGATAGGCGCAATGAGAAAGCACTGCTGTTGTCATCTGAAGGGGATCGCAAAGCGAACGCAGTGTTCGAGTCTTGCATTTTGGTTTCCGATAAGCAATAGATATCGATCGAGAGGGTCTCTAATGTTGACCGATCTGTAACAATGTGCATATTTCGGGGCATGCCAGTCTGATGGGGGATCGAGGGCTCCAAATAGAACCCAATGAATTAGGCTTGATCGCTTGGTTGCACATGGGCTTGTCGATAGGGCAGGAGTGACGCTCCGCGTTTGCATGTGAGTTGAAACTACAAGCTAAACGCCTATCAAAGTAGAGTTGGTGAAGTCCTGGAATTGTGGGGTTGAAAACGGGGTGGGTGAAAAAACGTAAGAGGACGAATAAAAATACGGAAAGGCTTCAGCAGTCGCATCCAAACCCCTATACACTGCTCGATGCAGCAGATAGGGTGCGGTTAATGTTCCTCTGCAATGACCGTATCATCAAGGAATTGTTTGAAGCAATAATCATTGTGTTGTATTGCATGCCCAGGATACTGTTAGGTTGCCCAGGCCTAGACAGGAGAAAAATTAGGGTTCTCAACCAAAGCCTTTAGTTCAAAAACCCTACCACAAAGCAGAAGGGTTTAGCTCTGGACTACAGGGAGCTCGTTTTATGGAGTGGAGAGCCACCGTCATTCCAACCCACAACCTGGAGGACCAGGAGACTGAGTTTGTCTGGCCTCTACCCATTGTCTATTGTGGTATGAGTGGCTCCAGGAGACAGTTGGTCGTTGCTGGAGGGGACGGGGTGTACGGTCCTTATAGCCGTGCTAGGCTCAAAGAGCGGTTCCATGCACTCAGTGTGAAGCGGACTACGGTCCAGCCACCGCCTTGTGTGCGCTTGATTCCCCAAATACAGCGTGCTTGTGTTTGGTTGTGAAGGAGTGTGGGCCGACTCCGTTGACGAAACGTGGCTCCCATCCACATGCCTCGCGGTCTTATTCCTTCGGGTTTACACTGGATATGGGGTGTGTGGATGGAGCTGTGTGTGGTGCAGCGCAAGCCACCCATTGTCCCTCTGTAGGCGCAGGCGTCCTGTGGCTGGCCACAGTGACAGGCAAATCCGAAACCGGATGCCGCCAACCATATGAGTGGCTCTGAAGGTGCAGAAAGCATCACCCAGCATAGCTCACTAGATCTCTGAGGCACGCAAACTGTCGAACGACGGTAAGGTCCAGCCTCATTACGATGGAATCCAGCAGCAAATAAAATGAGCCTTTCGTATCTACACGACAACTGTGGAGAACCTGCAGAGGTCATTTATTAAACATCTGATTGGTAAACACTCTGCTATGAGTTACCGAGAACGTTGCAATGAACTTCATCTCGAACCACTTTGGATTCGACGGTTGAAGCACAACTTGTTGCTGCTATACAACATGGTAGGTAAAATGACCTATTCAAAACTGCCCACACTCAGTTTGCAACATTGGTCAACTTGAGCGCTTCGCAACAAAGATTTTACATTGAATATACCGCAGGCTAGAACGAGCGTCCGCTCTAATTTCTTCCTGGTCAGATACAGCTATCAGTGGAATAACTACCAATAACAATCAGGTCATGTGACAATGTGGCAACATTCAGTAGTAGACACGCCAATTACCTTGATCTAACTACCCTAAGCTCTATATTCACATGGGAAAAATCCCTCGATGAGCTATTTCAAGAGGGGCCCAAAAACATATAAACACCAATGTTTTGATAGCTAGGCTTTGGCCCCAACCATCCGCCAGAATATTAATACATAAAACGCATATCCCAATACTCCACCTAGACATGTCACGCATGCAAGAGCATGGATTCTTCTGTACAAATTGATCTGTGCCGCTATAGACACAGTTTCTCTCATCAAGGGACATATACCTATCATTATTATTATGTAGGGTTAGGCTGTCGATCACGAGAATATCAATCTGTTGTGCTTCAAGTCATCCGAGTTTTGACGTGAAATCGAATCCAGTCCTCAGTCACGACCACAAGGCAGTGGGTATGTGGAAATAGTCTGATTTTACAAACACGTCTTCCACGTCATATGCTTGTTCGACTTCCATCCATCTGCCAATGTGGTGTGGAGGTATCTCTCAGGGCTATCGTACGTAGAACTAAATATAGCTCGACGGATTGGAGTGCGCAAACTGTGGTACCGCGTTGCGACAGTATGCAACTTGATCTTCCTCTGTGTTCCACTTCACTGCTCTTCTTTGTCGTTTGCCAGATATTTTGTCATCTATTCCACTTTATGGTCGCATCGCATCGAAGTGACTGCTCAGTTCTACCGGTCTTCTGCTGTTGTCTTCACCAGTTATGGTGTGGGCGTAGAGCACATTGTCTATAACGATGATTCCTAACACCTGGTTCTAGGCTCCAAATGTCACGGTGGTCTACTTGCTACAAGGACTGAAGCTGCTTTTACGTGCTGGACCGTCTTTGTTTCTTAGGTTTTCTTATTATTTCGTATGGTCACTAGGTTGCAAATCGCGGAACTAGTTGTCGTTTTTTTGCAATTCGCACTTGATTGTAATGTTTACTCATATTTCAGCTGCTGTAGTCACCATATCAGGGCATGGTGTGTGTGTGTGCGTGTGAGGGGGGTCAAGGAACGCGTTTAACTTTATTCCGTTACTTCAATATGTGATTCATTTTATCCCCCGATTTCACTTCTTGGTTTTTATCACTTTTATATTATTCCTCTGTTTTTTAGCCGATCGCTTTCTGTTCTTAAGCCGCTCACCGTATTTCACTGTGATTCATATAGCATATTTCTCGGCGCATCACAGAGGCGTGTGCATCTCTGGCATTCCTGCCTAATCCTTCGTTTCGCTATTAGACGGAGACTGAACTAGCAGCAGCACTGTTCGCATTAATTATGATACCTTCTTCAGCACGACTTGCGGCATTTCCAGTCAGCTGACGGAGGACTCAGTTTACTAACTTGTTCTAATGGCCAAATGACCCCTTACTTGTGACTCGCTTGCGCCATGTCTCCAGATACGGTTTATTATTGTTCCTTTTAACGATTCCCTCGTTTACAACTCCGCGTTGATCCATTCGATCCGATTGGCAGGTTGTCAGAATGCACCGTGTTGCTTTTCATGTTGAATACTACTATCCGTTAGCTGATACACAAACGTTTTCGTCTATGTGTACAGCCGGAGCATGCAAGCTACCTGGGGCCGCGTATTTGTAATTGTGCTTCGATGTCCGAATTGACATGTGTTCTAGCGATTAAGCATCCATAGCCATCAAATATATGCCTGTTTTGGTACACTGCCATTGCCTTATCATAATGCTACTTTTGGGTTGCCTTTCCAGGGTAACTTTGATGTGAATACGTGTTCTACCGGAACCATTTACTTTGCAAAGTGCCACAGTCATTAACGCTACTAGATGAGATTGTGCGACCTCTTTATTTGGTCGCACATTAGATGATACTTTGTGTGCGAACATTTACTTTAACTCGTACCGTTGACATTGTAACCTTGTCTCTACTCCAGCTTGGCTATTGGGTTGTCTGGAAGCTGTGCAATTGCGGGCATTCATCATGGAATCACTAACCATGGTTCTCACTCATAGCCTCTTAACATCGATTTCGTCAGTATTACTCGTTGACAATCTTTCTCATTGTGTTCCCCTTCTTCATTTCTTCTCCTTAGTGTGAAACCACCAACGATGTGCGTGCCCCGGAGCCCAGTGTCACCGTGTGTATTCAATTGTTCCGCACCAGCGCACTTAAACCACGCGACACTCGCCCACATCGTGTCGCGTTTGGTCTCTCGGATGGAAGCATTATTGTCATGCGGTTAACGGACTTCATGCAAGCTGCTTACTGGACGTCAGACTTTCGGGCGAATTCCAACACACCAAACGCCAACCATTTACTGCATCTGACTCGCTTCAAACTGACAGGCCATGTGGGCCCGGTAACTAGCTTGCTTCATCCTGCCAGCGCCAATACACAGTTTATCCATACACTGGACCACGATTCGACAGTCACCAAATGCCCATACGATTGGGATCACTTGGTCTCCGGTGGCGCGGATTTTACTGTTAGACTGTGGGATTTGGATCCTTGGCGTGAGGCCGGGCTAGATCGTGTTCAGGACAGACGCAATCGTCTTCTTTCTGATCGACTGGCCTCTTGTATCACACCTCCAACCTGTTTGTCTGTGTTCCACTGCCATTCATCCCCCTGCATATCTTTGTTCATTGGTCCCCCAACCTGTGCCGTGCTGAGTTCGTGTGCGGGGAACTCTCGCCTAAATGTGAGTTTGCGGCTCAGTTGCGTCGATGTTTTTTTGGGATTTATTGGCCACAAAGCTGTCAACACCAACGCGTTTGTATTCTGGTTGCGCCTTAGTTTCCATTGAAAATCGTGAACTTTTTTGATCTAACTACCATCAACATAGATACTATCGACGTCTCAGGTAACTCATCTGCCAACTTTATTCTGGAGAAAGGGAACATAGAACTTTTTCTATTGTTGGCACGATTATTTTTGATGTCGTTTTGGGGCCTCGCTCAAATTATCTTCATGCACCTTACTTTTCTAACTTTGTGCGCTCACATGACTTCAATATCCATCACATCGCTCACAGCGTCCGCTATGAGTTCACTGAAAACATTCACAAACCACGTTGTCCCGCCAAGAACAAAACGCCAGTGCTGCTAACCTAATCAGTCAACAACAAGCGTCGGGGATTTGCTTCCGCGGTGAACCTTTTTACAACTTATAACCACGCCTTCATCACTAAACACCGTTTATTTTCTATCGTTTCTTAACCTTCAGTAGAAACTTCGCAATGGAGACTACCTGTGCCTTCCCGAGATCTGTTCGAATGTGTGAATCGGTTTTTCGCATTTACTTATGCACCGACCTCTATAGGTCATTTTATCCTGTTTGAATGCTGCAGAATTTCGATGTCCTTTGCCCTTATTTGAATCCTGTTACCTATCCGATGGTTGGATCATTTCTGCACATCTTTTTGGTTCTATACTCTGATGCACTCGCTTACTCGGCCATATTTTATTCTCTACCATATAGATCGATCTCATGAGCGCCTACACTTTAGCAAATCGGTGCATTAAATAATGCTGCACAATGAGCTGAGTAGCACACATCATCTTTCGAGTACCCTGTTTCATGCTGCCTTAGCATCTGTACTCGGCAACTGTTTCTCCGCCTTGGCTCATGGTTCACCTAATGCTTGGATTCGCTATGTCCCCAAAGCCGTATGCCTTTCCATGAGTTTTAAAACAGGATACCGAATTTCAATATACTTTTCAGGCCTTATCTCTCTTTTTAGTCTTGTGTGGGTTCGGTTGGTTCGGACGGTTCTGTCTCAATCATCAGTTTACATGAACAACGCGTGTTGTTGTCAACCAGTCCTCCGTGCAAGCTCTCTCCTTCACCGGTGATCGCTCTGGGCTGGCGAGTTCCTGAAGATCTTCTACTGGTTGTGCACGCGGACTGGGGTCTGGAAATTTGGGATATTGCATCCGGAATCCTTGACCGGTGAGCGGTTTCTTTTTTCCACTCGTTACAATGAACTTCTTTTTACCCCTCTTAGTCATACCTCATGTTATTCATTCATTCACTGTACACGTTAGCTAGGGGTGGGAACACCTTAACCATTGTGCCGAGATACACATGAAAAATAGTAAAGATGCAACACAGGTGCGCCAGCTGAGCCACCAGTAACAGATGGACATGGTTCCGGAGGGCTACCGGCCAGCTATTGTGCCGCAAATATTGTTATACTTTAAGAATGAGATCGTGGTTCGAGAAGAAGGCTAAGCATTACAGCGACGGACAAAGAAACTCACAACGGAAACGCCACTGAGATCGGTTCCTAGACATATCAACAAGTGTATTCACCCAAACGTGCTCATCGTCTTTCGGGCCCCAACCAGGGAGCCATTAGGATCCGTCGGAGCCCAACTTCGAACTAAGAGCCTTTATTCCTCTTGACCAATTCACCATTTGATTAACCCTCCTCTTCTTCTACTCAAACTCCCGGCATGCAAACAATCACGTCGCGGGAGTCGGTGTGCTGGCATGCGCAACACCTGGCCCAGCGATCGGAGCCTGATTCATGACATGACGGTGCTGAGTGGTTCACTCGCTCTTCCGGCAATAAATACACGACGCTGAACACGTTCATTACTCACACGGTGTTCCGACTAGGTATGTTTCAAACTGCGAAGGCACTGGTGGTCAAACGTAACTAGGCTCTTTACGTCTGCCGATCTAATAGGCCAGGTTTCACAACTATACGGTAGGGTCGAACTTACTGCGGATGTCGCGTCGTCGCCACAGATAATGAAGGTTAGAAAAGGTACCTCGATCTTTTGCTATGCAGTTCGTGACCTCATCTCGATTCTCAGGCGCTTAAGTAATTGGATTTGTGAAGGACTTCTAGCTGATTCCCACTAAGGATCAGCGCAGGAAGCGGTCCATGCCAATCTTGAAGGAAAGCTTTGCACTTCGATTATGCAAGGTTGTGCCCGAAATGGCTGAAAACCGGTGCTAATTTATCCAGTGCAGTTCGGCACGTTTGTGAGCTGTCACAGATTCGGGTAATGTCGTCAGCGCTATGCGAAGCATTGTTTTTAAACTTCCTTGACACACATCCCTCCGCCTGACAGTATTTGATCTCTCGTACTCGGTATGGAAGACCGAAGAGGGTATTTTCGATGGAACCGCAGTATTTTTTTATTGTTGCGGTATATCGACAGCGCAGCTTGACGAATGAATTGTACATTTGCTAGTTGAGCCTGGCAAGTTGGTTGCAGACGTTTCGCCACCAATCGATCTGACATCATCACTGCTGAGTTGCCTGTAGTCTGGTCGCTAAAATCGTACCAGGTAAATCCATAAACGGTTGCCACCAGTTACTGTGCCGATCATTATATAGATTATCGAAAACATTAGGTGCGTTTCATTCTGCTTGGCTGTTCATCCACATACTCATTAGTACTGGATTGATTTTGTTTGTTTGTAATGATAAGGTTCCGACGAGGAGCGATAGTCGCTGTTTCCGTTGATGTTTCATCTTGCTTTGAGAAGAGTAGTAGGGGGAGTTGAATGTGGTTTCAACCACAGACTGGCAACAGTCGAGTTGCGGGTTCGAGCCCTACGAGGGGTCCGGTGGAATACACACTGCTGATGATTCCCGAAAGGTTGAAACGCGCGTACAGTGCTTTTCCGGGCATGTGGCGGTTGTCTGAGTGACCCTAGCTGTGACGAATTTCTACCTATATCATCTTGATTTGATGTTCACCAATGTACTCAGGGCGAATAGATTTTAATTGGCTGCAGGAATGTGGTTCCGACGTTGGAAGACAGTCGCTTTTTGATTGTCTTCTGTTGATACTTCACCCTGATTAGGTGTTCATCGATGTACTCAATGGGGTTAAATTGATTTTGATTAGGTGCATGAATAATCTTCTGGCGTGGGTATATTCTCGCAGTTCAATTAACTTGTGAAATATTGTGTCCATGCATTAGATCCACAGCGATTATCCTATACGTTGCCCTGGTATCGGACTGTTCTCGTTCAAGCAGTGTCCTGTAATTCGTCCAATCTCTCTGTCCGAGTATTTGTTATATTGAGTGT